AGCAGAGCTATGCAGCTGCAAAGAACTGTTTTGACTTTCAGGTTTTCCTGTGTGTCGCTTGCTGTAGATGGATGTGTTTTAGATGTGCTTAGTAAACTGAGTTTTCCTTGCAACCTGACGTCTCCAGAGTCCATGATTTTGCAGAGCTGTATCTGGTGTATCTAGCATTTGCTTCTGTCAAGTTGCGCCTTAGCTTGACAAAGAGCTGCGAAGTATAGAAAGCAGAGTCTGCAAAAACAGGAGATTCCTGCCTATCAAGGTTGGATCCACAAGCCTTCGCATTCCAAAGCATTCGCTGGCAGAAAGGTCTGTATAAATACAGAGGGTGCCCATTCTGACACTGACTCAGGGCTGGCTCAAGATTAAAATAACGAGCAGAATTCATTTATGGAGGTTACAAATGCGGAACCAAGAGTGACTCATTCATGAGTGGCTTGCAGCAATGATCCTGACGTGTTCCCTAGTGATGCCTGTGGAGGTGAGTCAGCAGCTCTTTGGAGATCCATGGGATTCATTCCTGGCAAACAGGAAGCAGCCGACGGGTATTCCCTCCCCAGCTCAGAAACGTTACTTGCATGGTTATGGAGCTGAAATATTCAGTCAATGATAGGTATCTGTTGTGATAAAATATGCTGAATGGTTTGAGTGAGATTGTATGAAAGGCATATGAATGCAGCCTAATTGGGCTGCAGATACCAAGGAATGAGGCCTGGAAAACTACAAGAATGAGGCAAAGAACTCATGGACTAATTAAAAATTAGGACAGATAGATAAATAGATAGATAGTTAGGATGCCTGCCATAGATGCAGGCGAAATGTCAGGAGAGAATGCTTCTGGAACATGGCCATACAGCCCGGAAAACTCACAACAACCCAGAATTAATGCAATTTAACATCACTGTTGTCAACTGTTGTGACTCAATACTATGGAGTCAGGGGAGATGTAGGAGCCCTCGGTGGCGCAGCGGGTTAAACCCCTGCACCGGCAGGACTGAAGACCAACAGGTGGAAGGTTCGAATCCGGGGCGAGGCAGATGAGCTCCCTCTATCAGCTCCAGCTCCTCATGCGGGGACGTGGGAGAAGCCTCCCACAAGGATGATAAAAACATCAAATCATCCAGGCATCCCCTAGGCAACATCCTTGCAGAGGGCCAATTCTCTCACATGAGAAGCAACTTGCAGTTTCTCAGGTCGCTCCTGACACAACAAAAAAATACCATATATACTCAAGTATAAGCCGACCCGAATATAAGCCAAGGTATCTAATTTTACCCCCCAAAACTGGGAAAACGTATTGACTCAAGTATAAGCCGAGGGTGGGAAATGCAGCAGGTACTGGTCAATTTCAAAATGAAAATAGATACCAATAAAATTACATTAATTGAGGTATCAGCAGGTCCAATGTTTTTGAATATTTACATAAAACTGTAATTTAATATAACTGTCCAACTCTGATTAAATCATTATTCCAACCTTCTTCAATGTAAATGTTCTTATGTATCCTTGCAATAATAATAAAGAGAATAAGATAATAAATGTAATAATGTATTAATAAAAACAAAATATTACATTATTATTATTATTGATTAAAATAATGGAAATGTAGTAATAAGAGTTATAATAGAGTAAAATGATAAATGTAAATAATAAATGTAATAACAATAATAAAGTAAAATAATAAATGTAATAAAACCAATAGAGTAAAATTATAAATGTATTACAAATAATAATAATAATAATAATAACAGAGTAAAATAATAAATAACCTTGACTCGAGTATAAGCCGAGGGGGACTTTTTTCAGCCTAAAAAAGAGCTGAAAAATTAGGCTGTATATACTCGAGTATATACAGTAATTAAAAATTGCTGATGAGATTTGAGACAAATGATTTAACTGTTGACATTCTGAGTTGATGAACTCTTGGTGGAAAAACAACTTGTTTACGTTGCCAAATACAATGGTTCTTTTAGGTCAGGAAGTCAACACTGTGGCTCCTGACAGAAATGTTTACAAGCCTCCTTGATAAGGAAAGCCAATTAAACAAAATCAACACCTGTCCGGGAACTGATGGAATCTGTCTGTCAGTAATTTACAACTTTCAGAACTACATCAATAGAAAATACTACATAAAAGGACCCTTCTCTCTCAGAGAGTGTGTGTCAGACCAACTGAACACCATTTGACCACCTTTACACCCTGGTGAGGTTCCTACAGACCACTTGGCTCCCAACAAAGACCGATAAAGACCAAAATTGGCACACAGAACCCCCACGACCCACTCTACAGCCTACTGTAGATTGGAGGGGGATGGACCACGGATGATGGGACTTGAAGTACCTCCACTCACTTCCCAACACCGCTGAGACCCTCATCCAATGGCCAATCAAGACCAAACTTAGCACACTGAGCCCCCATGACACCCTTTACATCCTGGTGAGGTTTGGGGGAGGACGGACAATGGATGATGGGATTTGTAGTACTTTCAAACCCTTCAGTTCCCACTGACCACTGTGGCCTCCAAAAAAGACCGATAAAGACCAAACTTGGCACACATTGGAACAATTGGATAATGAGACTGAACCTTGTTTATAACTAGGAAACGTTAATTATCTATGTTTTATTGACCTTGTTATGATTGTATATTTATGTTAATGTTTTATGATGTTGCTGGGCATTGAATTTTGCCTCTGCAAACTGCCTTGAGTTGCCCGTGGGCTGAGGAAGGTGGTATACAAATATAGTAAATAAATAAATATCTCTTTCAACTACATAACAATCAAATTTGGAGCTGAAAGAGAAATCCAGTTACATAACTTTGGTAGTCATATAGTTGGGAAAAAAGCCAGTTAAATAACTTTAGTGGTTTTTTGTTTTGTTTTTTTTTGTCGTGTCAGGAGCTACTTGAGAAATTGCAAGTCGCTTCTGGTGTGAGAGAATTGGCCGCCCACAAGGAAACTGCCCAGGGGCGCCCGGATGATTTGATGATTTAGTAGTAATGGAGTTGAAAGAGAAATTCAGCCAATGTGGGATCTCTCTAGCTGTATAACCATGAAACTTTGATAAGGATGTAGTTGAAAGAGAAATTTAATTATGGAACTCTGGTGGTTATGTGGTTGGAACAAAAACTCAGCCAGTGAGAGGTTTATCCTTCAACGACACAACCACAAAACTTTGGTGGTTATGTAGCTGGAAAAGAGCACTACTTACAGCACGTAACTTCAGTGGTCATGTAGTTGAGAGATCCAATTACGCAACTTCGGTAGTTACGGAACTGAATAGAGAGATCCTGCCAATGAAGGATTCCTCTTTCAACTATATAACTACCGATTTTTGGTGGTCATGAATTTGCAAGAAAGCATTAGTTATGTAACTTCAGTGATCATGTAGTTGAACGAGAGATCCAATTACGCAGCTTCAGTAAATAAGTACATGGAAAGAGAGATCATGCCAATGAAGGATTTCTCTTTCAGCTATACAGTGTTCCCTCACCTATCTCGCGGATGTTTCGTTCCAAGATCACCTGCAAAAAAGTGAAAATCCGCAAAGTAGGGACACTATGTATGTATATATAAATATATATATATATATATATATATATATACACACACATACACAATCTCATGTCAGCAAGTAGCATAAGGTTTTAAATTCTTTGTGTTATTGTTTATATGTAAGTTATATTAATTGTACTGTTTTATTTGCTTGCTGTTTTGTTTTTACAGATGTGTTGTTGGGCTTGCTGCCCCAAGTCCCCTTGGGGAGATGGTGGCGGGGTATAAAGATAATAATAATAATCTTTATACATCTCCCCACGAGCCCCCAGTGGCGCAGTGGGTTAAAGCCCTGTGCCGGCAGGACTGAAGACAGACAGGTCGCAGGTTCAAATCCGGGGAGAGGCGGGTGAGCTCCCTCTATCAGCTCCAGCTCTTCATGTGGGGACATGAGAGAAGCCTCCCACAAGGATGATAAAAACATCAAATCATCTGGGCGTCCCCTGGGCACCGTCCTTGCAGACGGCCAATTCTCTCACACCAGAAGCGACTTGCTCCTGACACGACAAAAAACAAAACAAAAACATCTCCCCAAGGGGACTTGGGGCGGCAAGCCCAACAACAACATTATTATTATTATTATTATTATTATTATTATTATTATTATTAGGAGCCCCTGGTGGCGCAGTGGGTTAAACCCCTGTGCCGGCAGGACTGAAGACAGACAGGTTGCAGGTTCAAATCCGGGGAGAGGCGGATGAGCTCCCTCTATCAGCTCCAGCTCTTCATGCGGGGACATGAGAGAAGCCTCCCACAAGGATGATAAAAACATCAAATCATCCAGGCGTCCCCTGGGCAACGTCCTTGCAGACAGCCAATTCTCTCACACCAGGAGTCACTCCTGACACAACAAAAAATATTATTATTATTATTATGGCATCTCAAGCAGCCGCTGTGCAAGCCCTACTTTCGTTTTTGGTGTGTATTCATCTGCTGAGTAAATATGCTATTTACTGTAAATCAGTTTTTTATAATTTATAATATTCTTTTAGTGTTAGAATCATTAGTTTTTAAATATATTTTTATACATTTTGTGATTTTTAATATGATTTTTAAACCATGAAAAGCGAGTCCACGAAAAGCGAACTGTGAAATAGTGAGGGAACACTGTATAACCACCCATCCTTGATGTTTCTGTGGGTGAAGGAGAAAGCCAATTAAGTAACTTCAGTGGCCATGTAGTTGAGAGGTCCAGTTACGCAACTTTGGTAGTTATGGAACTGAAAAGAGAGACCCAGCAAATGAAGGATTTCTCTTCCAGCTACGTAAACATCTTGTGCTTCTGTGGCTGAAAAACTGAGCCAGTTAAGTAACGGTTACGTAGTTGAATGAAGGATTTCTCTTTCAGCTACATAACCATTGATCTTTGGTGTCTCTGTGGTTGAAAGAGACAGCTGGGTAAGTAACTTCAGTGGCCATGGAGCTGAAAGAGAGATCCAGGTATTGCTATCAACCCCTCAGTGCGGATGCCAGGGCATCCCGTATCCGGACCGCCTCAGGGTCTTCTTCCCCATCCTCCTCTTCCTCCAAAGGATATTCCTCCCATTGGTCGCTCTCTTCATCTTCTCCTTCCTGCTCCTCCATCCAGGATGGTTGGAAGAGGTCCCCTCGGGCCTCGCAGATGTTGTGGAGGGTGCAGCAGGCAGCGATGAGGGTGGGCAGAAAGGTCACATCGGTGTCGTTGCGCTTGGTGAGGCAGCGCCACCGACCCCGCAGGCGTCCAAAGGCCACACCGACCACAGTCCGCGCAGCTGCCGCGTACTCGTTGAAGCGCTGCTGACGAGGAGCCAGGTTCCGGCCTCGGTCCCGGTAGGGCCGCATGAGCCACGGCAAGAACGGATAGGAGCGCCCACCCAGCAGGTAGACAGGGACAGGGATCCCGCCGATGTCTTGGGCTCCGCCAGGAAAGAGCCGTCCCTCTTGGCCCTGCCGGTAGAGCTCCGACGTCCGCAACACGTGTGCTTGAGCCACGCCACCAGGGCAGCCCACGTTGATGTCCCAGAAGCACCCCCGTGAGTCCACGGCCGCCTGTAGCACCACCGAGTGCCACCCACGGGGGTTGCAGTATCCAGCGGGGTCCTCGTTGGGGGCGCGGATGGGGACGTGGAGGCATCCCAGGGCGCCAGCCATCTGCGGCAAGGGGAAACCATTCCCGGCGGCGACTTCACTGGGCTCGGGCGGCCGGACGAAGGCGGGCGTGAGTAGGGCCACGAGGGCCTCGCAGACATCGCGCAGGACCTTGCAGACGGTGGAACGGGAGACGCCGAAGAGCTGCTCCACGGCCCGGAACTCGGTGCCGGCCCCCAGGCGCCAGAGGGTGAGGGCCAGGCGCACGTCTGCCGGGATGGCGCGGCGCATGTTGGTGTCGCGTCGGCGGATGGCGGCCTGCAGGCGGGCGCAGAGGAAGTCGAAGGTGAGCGGGGAGACGCGGAATTTCTCGGCCCACTCCTGCGGCGGAAAGGCCTTGAGGCGCACGGTCTCCCAGAAGGCCGAGCTGCGGGCCTTGGTCCAGAGGCGCCGCTCCCTCAGCAGCCGCGAGAGGCCTCCGTTGCCGTGCAGGCCGCCCTCTTGGCCCAGGGCGCGGCACAGGCACAGCAGGGCGAAGCTGCGGCGGGAGCGGGCCTGGGCCCGGCGGTGGCGAGCGAGGCGGCGACGGCGGGCCTCTTCACGCAGCCTCCGCCCACGCTGGAGCCTCAGGTTCTGAAGCAGGCAAAGGGCCACGGCCCCACGGCTCAGGGCCAGCAGCACTTGGTCCCTCTCCTCAGCTCCCACAGGGCCATTGGGGGCCAGGCAAGATGGCTGCTGAGGAGGAGGAGGAGAGGCAGCCATTTTGTCCCTTTGGGTCAAGGTGTGAAGGGAAGGATGGAGGGGATCCCAAGTGCGCATGCGCAGCGCCACCGCTGGAATGGCCTCCCTCCGAGTGCGCACGCGCAGGAGCTTCACCGCTTCACATCAGCCAGGCCTGTGTGAGGAGGCCGAACAGGTTTCGCGCATGCGCACAAGATTCCTCCACTCCGTTTACGGCTACATCTCCGCGCGCATGCGTAGAGGATACCTCTGGCGAGATGGAGAAGATTTCAAGTGCGCCTGCGCGGCGCCACTGCTGGACTGGCTTCCCGCCGAGTGCGCACGCGCAGAAGCTTCACATCAGCCACGCCTGTGTGAGGAGACTGAAAAAGTTTCGCGCATGCGCACAGGAACAAATTACCCACTCAGTTTGCACAGCGACACCTCCGCGCGCATGCGTACAAGACACCTCTGGAAGGATAAGATCCCAAGTGCGCCTGCGCTGAATGGCTTCCCGCCGAGTGCAGAGTGCGCACGCCAGCTTCACACTCGCCAAGACTGAGGACTGAGCAGGTTTCGCGCATGCGCACAAGAACAATTCCCCGGGTTAGTCGCACCTACGAGCACATGCGTAGAGGATGCCACTGAAAGGCTGAAGATTCCAAGTGCGCCTGCGCGGCGCTACCGCTGGACTGGTTTCCCGCCAAATGCGCATGCGTAGAAGCTTCACATTCGCCAGGCCTGTGTGAGGACTGAGCAGGTTTCGCGCATGCGTATAAGAACAATTCCCTCCCGTTTTGTCACACCTACGCGCGCATGCGTAGAGGATGCCACTGAAAGGTACAACGCCCCTGCTGTCCCAGCTCCACTGGCTGCCGATTCGCTACCGGGCCCAATTTAAGGTGCTGGTATTATCCTACAAAGCCCTAAACGGTTCCGGCCCAAAATACCTTGCAGACCGCATCTCGGCCTACGAGCCCACGAGGGCCTTGAGATCATCCGGGGAGGCTCTTCTCTCAGTCCCGCCTGCCTCACAGGCACGTCTGGCGGGGACGAGAGAGCGGGCCTTCTCGGTGGTGGCCCCCCGGCTATGGAACACCCTCCCTGTTGAAGTTAGACAGGCGCCCTCCTTGATGGCCTTTCGTAGGGGCCTGAAAACATGGCTCTTCGAGCAGGCCCTCAACTGAGTGTATCTTGAAATGACACTGGAGTGAACTAGGACTATGAATTTTGGCTATGACCCCAGGACTTGACGAAGCGGATTTTTAGTATAAGTATATGTTATGTTGTATTGTCTGGTTTGTATTGTCGTGATTTATTGTACACTGTCTTTTCTGTTGCTGTTCACCGCCCCGAGTCGCCCTCGGGCTGAGAGGGGCGGTCAATAAATGCAAGAAATAAATAAATAAATAAATAATGGTCATGGGTGACATAAAGTGGCCTCCCTCCGAGTGCCGAGCGCGCACGCGCAGGAACTTCACACCAGCCCGGCCTGTGTGAGGAGACCAAACAGGTTTCGCGCATGCGCAGAAGGACAGATCCCCTCCGTACGGAGGGGATCTGTCCTTCAGCGCATGCGCGAAACCTGTTTGGTCCCCTCACACAGGCCGGGCTGGTGTGAAGTTCCTGCGCCGGATGCCGAGTGCGCACGCGCAAGAGCTATACATCAGCCAGGCCTGTGTACGCGCATGCGCAGAAGGACAGATTCCCCTCGTACGGAGGGATCTGTCCTTCTGCGCATGCGCGAAACCTGTTTGGTCTCCTCACACAAGCCGGGCTGGTGTGAAGTTCCTGCGCCGGGTGCCGAGTGCGCACGCGCAAGAGCTATACATCAGCCAGGCCTGTGTGAGAGGACTAAACAGGCTTCGAGCATGCGCACAAGAACAGATTTTTGTCCCGTTTATACAGCTACACCTCCGCGCGCATGCGTAGAGGATGCCACTGAAAGGCTGAAGATTCCAAGTGCGCCTGCGCGGCGCTACCGCTGGACTGGCCTCCCTCCGAGTGCTGAGTGCGCACGCGCAGAAGCTTCTTACCCGCCAGGCTTGTATAAGGGGAGGGAACAGGTTTTGCGCATGCGTACAAGAACGGATTGCCCTCCTACGCTTAAACAGCCACACCTGCGCGCATGCGTAGAACATGTCCAAGGAATGGAGAAGGCCTCACTGCGGCTGCGGAAACCTAGCCAGGCTGGATGAGACCTCACTGAGCATGCGCACAACAGAGTTAGTCTTCCTCCTCCGCCATACAGAGCCAGCCTTCAGCGCGCATGCGTAAGACTCAGTGCATGAAGGCGGAAGCGTCTTCAAAATGGCGGCGTCCTCAGCGCTGGAGGGCCTCTTGGTCCCGCACATCCTCCCCGCTCAGTGCTACGACGAGCTCCTCGTCCGCTTCAACCTCTTGCACAGTGAGTCGCCTCCTCGCCGCCTCCGCCCGGCCACAGAAAGCCAGGACGCCCGTGGTCTCTCTAGGGAGGCGCGGCTTGGCCGGAAGTGCCCGTGAGGGCGGCCATCTTGGTGAAGGGCGCCAATGCGCGCCTGCCATCTTTACCCACTGCCGGAAATGCCTGGGCGGCCATTTTGGCAGCAGCGGAAGTGTCGTCATGACACCATTTCCTCACTTGGGGAATTTTCCCTGCTCCAACCTGGCAAAACCATTCCGTTTTATACCTGTTTATATAATTATAAAAGATATATATTTTTAGTAGGATTCCGATTATCTCCTTTAATGATGATTTAAGCTACCATGATGTTCTGAAGCGGCGTAGAAATACAACAGATGAAACGTGGAAACCTCTTGGTGCCATTTTGGTTTTGGGCGGAAGTGTCTCGCCTTCTAGGTTCAGTTTGGGCGGAAGTGTTTGGCTTTCTGTGTTCAAAGTTCATTTTACACCTAAAGTAGTTTGTAACTCTTTTTTCTTTCGCTTTTTCTCCATTTTTAAACCAACAGAGATTATTATTATTATTATTATTATCGTATTTATACCCCACTTTACTCTCAAATTGGGACTTTAAAGTGACTCTCAATTCAAAACACTTAATGAAGTGAATATTAAAACAGAATTAAAGTATATTCAGGAGAAAAAGAATTAGTTTTATAGCTTGGTAATGGCTTTGGGTGATGTTTAACCATTTATTTATTTATTGTGTCAGTAGTGTTTGTTGTTGTTCATTCGTTCAGTCATCTCCGACTCTTCGTGACTTCATGGACCAGCCCACGCCAGAGCTCCCTGTCGGCCGTCACCACCCCCAGCTCCTTCAAGGTCAGGTCAGTAGTGTTAGAGACCCTAAATTGGGTCTTCTTAGGTCCACATCACGGGAGCACGTAAGGAAAGAGACAGTCCCAAAAAAAGATCAAAAAACAAGGTTTATTTTAGTTTCTTCATGAAGAAGACAGACAGCCTAGCAGCATATGCAGATGCTACCCTTCAAGTGACTGCCACGCCCCTCCTCTATTCCTGTTGACTTTTATACTCAAGTAATAGGAGTATAAAAATAGTAAAAGGTCATGGAAAAATAGTAATAGGTCAAGGAAAAAGGCAGAGGAACAAGAGACCAGATTGCCAATATCCGGATGCTGGAGAATGGAGAAAGGCAGGGAGTTTCAGAAAAACATCTATTTCTGCTTCATTGACTATTCTAAAGCCTTTGACTGTGTGGATCATAATAAATTGTGGCAAGTTTTGGTGGGATGGGCATCCCAAGCCCCCTTCCCTCTCTCCTGAGGAATCTGTACAAGGACCAAGGAGCAACAGTCAGAACTGACCACGGAACAACAGACTGGTTCAAGATTGGGAAAGGCGTCCGGCAAGGCTGCATACTCTCACCCAACCTTTTTAACTTGTATGCAGAACACATCATGCGAGGATGTGCGGGGCTTGATGAATGCAAGGCTGGGGTTAAGATTGCTGAAGAAACATTTACAACCTCAGATATGCAGATGACACCACTCTGATGGCCGAAAGCGAGGAGGAGCTGAGGAGCCTTCTAATCAAGGTGAAAGAAGAAAGCGCAAAAGCCGGGTTGCAGCTAAACATCAAAAAAACCAAGATTATGGCAACAGGAATGATTGACAACTGGGAAATAGAGGGAGAAAACGTGGAGGCCGTGACAGACTTTGTATTTCTAGGGGAAGATGACTGCAGACGCAGACTGTGGCCAGGAAATCAGGAGACGCTTCCTTCTTGGGAGGAGAGCAATGTCCAATCTCGATAAAATAGTAAAGAGTAGAGACATCAGACTGGCAACCAAGATCCATTGCCTAGTCAAAGCCATGGTATTCCCTGTAGTCACCTACGGATGTGAGAGCTGGACCTTCGGGAAGGCCGAGCGAAGGAAGATCGATGCTTTTGAACTGTGGTGTTGGAGGAAAGTGCTGAGAGTGCCTTGGACTGCGAGAAGATCCAACCAGTCCATCCTCCAGGAAATAAAGCCCGACTGCTCATTGGAGGGAAGATACTAGAGACAAAGTTGAAGTACTTTGTCCACATAATGAGAAGACAGGAAAGCTTGGAGAAGATAATGATGCTGGGGAAAATGGAAGGAAAAACTAAGAGGGACCGACCAAAGGCAAGATGGATGGATGGCATCCTTGAAGTGACTGACTTGACCTTGAAGGAGCTGGGGGTGACGATGGCCAACAAGGAGCTCTGATGTGGGGTTTCATTACAGGCTGCTACTTCTCAGCAGATGTCAGATGGTGCAATACTGGCTAGACAGTGTAATTTCTCCAGTGGTGTAGAGCACAGACACACCGTGATAATGCGGCATGTCTCATTAAGAGCCACAACCACTGTTTTAGCGTGGTGAGATGTGTTCCACACTGGGCATGTGTACTCAACAGCAGAGCAGCCAAGCACAAGGACAGATGTCTTCACTGTGTCTGGTTGTGATCCCCAGGTTGTGCCAGTCAGCTTTCGTCTGATACTGTTTTAACTGATCTGCGTTTAATTTGTGTTTTAATATTTCTATGCCATAGGCTTCTAGGTTTTATTTGTCGTGCCTTTGACACAGTGAGCCCCTTTTAAGTCTTGTTTCAGAAGAGAGAGATGTAGATATAATCAGAATGCTTGAAAGGTGGCTGATCTCTTTTTTGCCCTTTTCTCTCCTTGATTCGTGTAGTTCCCTGCCTCAAAATCTTAATCAGCAAAGGCCTCGGATTCGCCATCGTTGCTGGCTCCCTCATGGGTAAGGACCCTGGATTCCTCGGAATACCTACACGAAAGCACCTGGCCTGTACGCTTAGTTAGTTAGGGTGCATATACACCAGGCATGGGCAAACTTCAGCCCTCCAAATATTCCTGCTTCTTGGCAGGGGGTTTGGCAAGATGGCGCACGAGGTTTCTTCCAACTCTATGATTCTATTTTGGAATCCTAACAGCCTCAGGGCCTTTCCTGTCAACTTAGGTGGCTGAGGGGGAAAAGGAAGGGGTGGCGCTGAGGCTGTTAGGAATTGTGGAAGTTCAAAAAGCCTTGAGGGCCCAAGTTTGCCCATGCCTGTTTTAGAGGATCAATAGAGAGAAGGAAGGAAAGAAGAAGGGAATTGATTTATCCTTGACTCCTTGAGTTGTGCAATGTCATAGAATCCTAGAGTTGGAAGAGGCCCATCCAACCCAACATGCTAACAACAGGTGAGTAGGTAGATGGGTAGGATGCAGAGTTGGAAGGGACCCCAAGGACTATCCAGTCCAACCCCACCCCCCTTCTGCCAGGCAGTACACAATCTAATCCCTCTCAACAGATGGCCACCCAGCCTCTGTTTCCAAACCTCCAGAGAAATAGGCTCTACTGCAGTGTTTCTCAACCATCGGAAAAGACGGGGTTGGAAACAGCAACTCACATGGCATCCTGCTTCTCACCAAATGTGCGGAGCACAACCTTGTCATCACCAACACGCTCTTCCGCCAGAAAAACAAGTTCAAGACATCATGGAAGCACCCCCGGTCAAAGCATTGGCACCTCTTAGACTATGTAATCACACGCGCCAGAGACCGCCGTGATGTGCTCCTCACAAGAGCCATGACAGGTGCTGACGACTGCTGGACTGACCACAGGCTAATTCGATCCTCGATGGCTCTCAAGATCGCCCCCAAGCGCAGACTCCAAGGAAGGAAGACAAGGCGCAAAATGAACACCCAAGCCCTTCAGGAGCCCTCCAGACGAGCCCATCTCCAAACAGCACTCAAGGACCATCTACCCACAGTACACCCCGAAAATGTTGAGGAACATTGGAACAAACTGAAGACCTCCATCATCCAAGCCTGCGAAGAAACTATTGGATACCAAGCCAAGAAACATCAATTGGTTTGACGAAAATGACATCGAGATCCAACAGCTAATTGACAAGAAAAGGAAAGCCTTCCAAGCATGGCAGAGAGACATCAACTGTGCTGCTAAGAAAAAGATCTATACCAGTGCAAAAGCTGAGGTCCAAAGAAGGACAAGAGAACTCAAGAACATCTGGTAGACAAAGAAGGCTGAAGAAATCCAACACCTGGCAGATACCCATGATGCTCAGGGATTCTTCAAAGCCACAAAGGTCATCTATGGACCAAGAAACCATGGGATACAGCCTCTACGCTCATCAGATGGAACCAAACTCCTGAAGGACCAAAACTCAATTGCACTACGTTGGAAAGAACACTACCAAAGCCTCCTGAACCGCAGCTCCAATGTGGCCGAAGAGGTCCTCTCACAAATCCCACAACAACAAACCAGGGATGAGCTTGCAGCACTGCCTAGTTTGGAAGAAGTCAGCAATGCCATCAGCCAACAGAAGAATAACAAAGCCAGTGGACCAGATGGGATCCCTGCTGAAATCTTTAAAGAGGGAGGCCTGAGCTGACACACCAACTCCACCAGCTCATAGAAAAAGTGTGGGTGACCGAGAAAATCCCAGCAGATTTCAAGGACGCCACCATCATCACCCTCTTCAAAAAAGGGGAAAGAACAGACTGCGGAAACTATCGAGGTATCTCCCTTCTAACCTCCGCTGGGAAAATCCTCGCAAGAATCCTTGCAAACCGCCTTCTGCCCCTCTCAGAAGACACCCTCCCAGAATCCCAGAATGGCTTCCGCCCCTCCAGAGGAACAGTGGACATGATCTTCACTGCAAGACAGCTCCAAGAAAAATGCAGAGAACAAAACCAACCTCTGTACATGGCATTCATCGACCTTGCAAAGGCATTCGACACAGTGAATCGCAGCGCTCTCTGGACCATCCTCCACAAAATCGGGTGCCCAAACAAATTTGTGAACATCCTGCAGCTCCTCCACGATGACATGATGGCAACAGTCTTGGACAGCAGTGGCTCCCAAAGTGACCCATTTAAGGTGGAATCAGGTGTCAAACAGGGATGTGTTATTGCCCCAACTCTATTCTCCATCTTCATCGCCATGATACTTCACCTTGTTGATGGGAAGCTTCCCACCGGAGTGGAAATAATCTATCGGACAGATGGCAAGCTATTCAACCTCAGCAGACTGAAAGCCAAAACCAAGGTTACAACAACATCTGTTATAGAACTCCAGTATGCTGATGACAATGTCGTCTGTGCGCATTCAGAAGAAGATCTACAAGCCACTCTAAACACCTTTACAGAAGCATATGAGAAGCTCGGCCTGTCACTGAACATTGAGAAAACCAAGGTGCTGTTCCAGCAGTCACCAGCCAATCCCTCCAATGCCAGTAATACAGCTTAATGGTGTAACATTAGAAAATGTGGACCATTTCCGCTACCTTGGCAGCCACCTCTCCACCAAAGTCAACATCGACGCTGAAATACAACACCGCCTGAGCTCTGCAAGTGCAGCATTTTCCAGAATGAAGCAGAGAGTGTTTGAGGACCGGGACATCCGTAGGGATACCAAGGTGCTTGTCTATAAAGCTATTGTCCTCCCAACCCTGCTATATGCCTGTGAGACGTGGACTGTCTACAGACGTCACATGCAGCTCCTGGAACGTTTCCATCAGCGCTGCCTCCGGAAAATCCTGCAAATCTCCTGGGAAGACAAGCGGACAAACGTCAGTGTGCTGGAAGAAGCAAAGACCACCAGCATTGAAACGATGGTCCTCCAACATCAACTCCGCTGGGCCGGCCACGTTGTCCGGATGCCTGACCACCGTCTCCCAAAGCAGTTGCTCTACTCCGAACTTAAGAACGGAAAACGGAACGTTGGTGGACAGGAAAAGAGATTTAAAGATGGGCTCAAAGTCAACCTTAAAAACTCTGGCATAGACACTGAGAACTGGGAAGCCCTGGCCCTTGAGCGCTCCAGCTGGAGGTCAGCTGTGACCAGCAGTGCTGCAGAATTTGAGGAGGCACGAGTGGAGGGTGAAAGAGAGAAACGTGCCAGGAGGAAGGCGCGTCAAGCCAACCCCGACCGGGACCGCCTTCCACCTGGAAACCAATGCCCTCACTGCGGAAGAAGATGCAGAGCAAGAATAGGGCTCCACAGCCACATACGGACCCACAAGGAAATCCATAATGGAAGACCATCTTACTCGTCCAACGAGGGATCGCCTAAGTAAGGTGACCCCCAATTATAACATTAATTTCGTTGCTACTTCATAACTGTAATTTTGGTCCTGTTATGAATCAGAATGTAAATATCCAGTATGCAGGATAGATTTTCATTCTGCACAAACACCCGATACGCCCAAATTTGAATACTGGTGGGCTTTGGGGAAAGGATTGATTTTGTCATTTGGGAGTTGTAGTTGCTGGGATTTATAGTTCAGCTACAATTAAAGAGCATTCTGAACTCCACCAATGATGGAATTGAACCAAACTTGGCACACAGAACTCCCATGACCAACAGAAATACTGGAAGGGTTTGGTGGGCATTGACTTGAGTTTGGGAGTTGTAGTTCACCTACATCTAGAGAGCACTGTGGACTCAAACAATGATGGGTCTGGACCAAACTTGGCACAGATCCTCAATATGCCCAAATGTGAACACTGGTGGAGTTTGGGGAAATGATACTTGACATTTGGGAGTTGTAGCTGCTGGGATTTATAGTTCACTTACAATCAAAGAGTATTATGAACCCCACCAATGATAGAATTGGGCCAAACTTTCCACACAGAACCCCCATGGCCAACAGAAAATACTGTGTTTTCTGATGGTCTTAGGTGACCCCCCTGACACCCCCTCACAACCCCTCCAGGGGTCCAGACTCCCAGGTTGAGAAACACTGCTCTGCTGGCTGTCAAAGCACCTCTGATCCTCAGGAAGTTTCTTCCTAATGTTGAGATGGAATCCCTTTTCTTGTGGTTTGAATCCATGGTTCCATGTTGCCCCAGACTCCAGAGCAACAGAAAACAAGCCACTCCATTTATTCCTCTCCAGTTGACTGAGGGCCCATCTAGACTGGCTCTATATCCCAGTTTTTCTCTTTATACCACTCTATTCTGCCTTGGTTAGGCCACACCTGGAATATTGTGTCCAATTCTGGGCACCACAATTGAAGAGAGATATTGACAAGCTGGAATGTGTCCAGAGGAGGGCGACTAAAATGATCAAGGGTCTGGAGAACAAGCCCTATGAGGAGCGGCTTAAGGAGCTGGGCATGTTTAGCCTGAAGAAGAGAAGGCTGAGAGGAGATATGATAGCCATGTATAAATATGTGAGAGGAAGCCACAGGGAGGAGGGAGCAAGCTTGTTTTCTGCTTCCCTGGAGACTAGGACGCAATGGAACAATGGCTTCAAACTACAAGAAAGGAGATTCCATCTGAACATGAGGAAGAACTTCCTGACTGTGAGAGCCGTTCAGCAGTGGAACTCTCTGCCCCGGAGTGTGGTGGAGGCTCCTTCATTGGAAGCTTTTAAACAGAGGCTGGATGGCCATCTGTCAGGGGTGATTTGAATGCAATATTCCTGCTTCTTGGCAGAATGGGGTTGGACTGGATGATGGCCCATGAGGTCTCTTCCAACTCTTTGATTCTATGATTCAATTCAGATTACCTGGCAGTGTATATTCATATAATCCAGTTTAAAGTAGAAAACCTGGGATCAGATCCTGGACCAGTCTGGAAGGGCCCTGAGAGAAGCCCAAGGCCTTGGAAGTTTGTTCAAAATAGATGAGGTTTCCAGTGCTTGGAGGAGAAATGAATATTTTGGGAGGGTTATACAGAACCAGGGGTTTGAACATTGGACAGTGACTGTGGAGACAGCAGCAACAACAATAGACAGCTCCTAGGAGTTTCTCACCCATAAGACCTGACCCCCTAAATCTCAGTGTGGGACTCATCCTTGTTTTGTTTCTCCCCGGTTCCCGCAGTGAAGCTGCCCCAAATCGCCAAGATCCTGGGGGCCCGGAGTGCGGAGGGGCTGAGCTTCAACGCCATTTTGCTGGAGCTCATGGCCATCACCGGAACCATGGTCTACAGCGTCTCCCGCAGCTTCCCCTTCAGGTAATAATAATAATAATAATGCACGGGCTGGGTTGTTAGTCTGATGCCTTCCTGGGTAGCTTTTCAGCCAAAAGGGGCCTCTGGAATAGTTTGCAGGCACAAGATTTCAGATTCCCTGCGGTGTTTTAATGATATGACCCAAAAAATGGAAAGGTGCCTCAAGGGAAAGGAAACAAGAAACAAAATTGGCTATTTTAGCCCCAAAGTGCCTTGTTTTCAAAGACAGGAAATGATTCCCAGATCACTTCCTGTTGATAAAAAAAGGTCTTTCTTGGACCTAAAAGAAGGCATTTTTATTTTTTTTCCCCCATGTCTGGAGCAACTTGAAAAACTGCATCACTTCTGGTGTGAGAAAATTGGCTGTCTGCAAGGACGTTGCCCAGGGGACGCCCAGATGTTTTGATGTTTTACCATCCTTGTGGGAGGCTTATCTCATGTCCCCTCATGAGGAGCTGGAGCTGACAGAGGGAGCTCATCCATGCTCTCCCTGGATTTAAACCTCTGACCTGTCAGTCTTGAATCCTGCCGGCATAAGGGTTTAACCCGTTGCCCACCGGGGGGTCCTAAAAAGACGACCTAAATACGGCAAAATGGACCATGATGTCCACTAGAATTCAGAGGGCAAAACATTGATTTTCAAAATATTTTATAGGGCCCTCCATAGCTACAGCTGCCATCACACGTAATATAGGTCCTTTCCCATGTTCTCACCCCATGAGTCTGGGGACACAGTGGGGCTGAGGAAAGGGCCTCCTTTGAGCCCAAAGAGTCCGTCATATACAAAAGGAAGAAAATAGCCAAAGGTACACTTGAAGTTGGCTGAGAATAGTTTGATAATCCTGAGAAATGCCTTGCTCCTCATTGACACACTGCCTCTGCTTCTCTCCCCACAGCGCCTGGGGGGAGGCCCTCTTCCTCATGGTGCAGACGGTGGCAATTGGGTTCCTGGTGCAACACTTTGGGGGACACACAGGACGAGGTATGTTTGGGCTGTTAGGTATTGGGGGAGTTGAAGTCCAAAACACCTGGAGGGACAAAGTTTTCCCATGTCTGCATGACAAGAGTGGATGTGGGAATCGTCCTGGGCCTGCCCTGTGCAATGAAACCCTTCCTTCTGTCAGAAATATTAAAAATTAACTAGGTATTTTATTTACAAAAATGTGAGTCAAGCATTGAAAGGGTTAAATGGATGCAATGACTCAGCAAAAGCTGTAATTCAATATAAATAGGTGTGTCTATAGCTTAAGAGTCCTCAGTGTTAGCCTCAGTGAGAGAAGGTCTCAGTGTCATTAGGCTTCAGTGTTCCTAGGCCTCAATCTGAGAGAGCCCTCAGTGAGAGAAGGCCTCAGTGGGAGATAGGCCTCAGTGGGAGATAGGCCTCAGAGAGAGCCCTCAGTGAGAGAAGGCCTCAGTGGGAGATAGGCCTCAGTCTGAGAGAGCCCTCAGTGAGAGAAGGCCTCAGTGGGAGATAGGCCTCAGTCTGAGAGAGCCCTCAGTGAGAGAGCCCTCAGTGAGAGAAGGCCTCAGTGGGAGATAGGCCTCAGTCTAAGAGAGCCCTCACTGAGAGAGCCCTCAGTGAGAGAAGGCCTCAGTGGGAGATAGGCCTCAGTCTGAGAAGGCCTCAGTGGGAGATAGGCCTCAGTCTAAGAGAGCCCTCAGTGAGAGAAGGCGTCAGTGTTAGTAGTGTATAATGTGTAATGCACAGATATCTATGACAACATCCAACAAAACAATGTATGTGTGTGACTCGCAAAACTCTGCCTCAGAGTAGGTTACTTCTAGCTGTATTACTATGTCAAAAATACTTTAACCCAACTTTGAAGTACAATTCTCATATTATAATTCAACAAAGGATATACTACTCACAGAATAAGCAACAGACATAAAGAAAAGCGTATAGAAACAATCAGCTCCAGGACTTATTGAGTTTGAAGTAAACTACTTTGAGGCAGAGTTTTGCCAGTCACACACATACATTGTTGTTTTGCTCAGTGTTAGTAGGCCTGGTGTGTCTGTCGCTTAGAATGCCTTAGTGTTATTTGTCCTCACTATGAAAAGGCTTGAGTCTGAGAGGCCTCAGTGTGAGGTAAACCTCAGTGTTAGTAGGCCTCAGTGGGAGGAAAGCCTAAGAGTTAGTAGGCCTCAGTGTGAGATGATCTAGTGTGAGAAGGTTTTGGTGAGAGAAGCCCCAGGTTGAAGGCCTCATGTGTAAAGCTCCAGTGTGAAGGCTGCTGTGTGTGAAGCTCCTGTGTAAGTTTGGTGTGAGAAGAAGTTCTGTGAGAGCAAAGTTGTTTATCTGCATGAGAAAGAAGCCCAGCATGGAAGCAAAGAAGGAAGTATAAAGAACTTTAACCTTGTATTGTCGAAGGCTTTCATGGCCGGAATCACTGGGTTGTTGTAGGTTTTTCTGGGCTATAACTCCCAGAAATCCCAGCTGTTAGGATTTCTGGGAGTTGAAGGCCAAAAACATCTGGGGACCCCAGGTTGAGATACACTGTTCTAGAAGCATTCTCTCCTGACGTTTTGCCTGCATCTATGGCAAGCATCCTCAGAGGTGACCAACTTTAACCTTGTTTTTGTAAACAGTGCAACCATATTATTTTACTACAAAGAGAAGCCTCTTTTGGAAGACAGAACATTGCTTACTCTGCAGTACATTTATGAGGAGGGTCTTTTGTTGATAAGCCCCCTTGCCCAACCCCTCCTTCCGCAGGCGCCTCCTTCCTCCTCGTCTACCTGGGCCTACTTTCCTTCCTCCTCTCCCGCTTCACCCCTCCGGCCCTGGTGACCACCCTCCAGGCCTCCAACATGCCAGCCGTCGTCATCAGCAGGGTAAGTAAACAAAGGCCTTCTTGAGGGGGGTAGGGGGTGGAAGTATCCCAGAAGGGGAGTGCTCTCCTTCCATCTAGATCATTGTTTCTCAACCTTCCAAATGCCGCGACCCCTTAATACAGTTCCTCATGTTGTGTTGACCCCCAACCATAACATCATTTCCGTTGCTACTTCATCACTGTCATTTTGCTACTGTCATGAATCGTCATGTAAATATCTCATATGCAGGGTGGATTTTCATTCACTGGACCAAATTTGGCACAAATACCCAATACGCCCAAATTTGAATACTGGTGGGGTTGATTTTGTCATTTGGGAGTTGTAGTTGCTGGGATTTATAGTTCACCTACAATCAAAGAGCATTCTGAACCCCACCAATGATGGAATTGAACCAAAGTTGGCACACAGAACTCCCCTGACCAACAGAAAATAATTAAAACATTTGGTGGGCACTGACCTTGAGTTTGGGAGTTGTAGTTCACCTACATCGAGAGAGCACTGTGGACTCAAACAATGATGGATCTGGACCAAACTTGGCACAAATATTCAATATGCCCAAATGCGAACATTGGTGGAATTTGGGGAAAATAGATTTTGACATTTGGGAGCTGTAGTTGCTGGGATTTATAGTTCACCTACAATCAAAGAGGATTCTGAACCCCACCAATGATGGAATTGAATCAAACTTGGTACACAGAACCCCCATGACTAACTGAAAATATAGTGTTTCCTGATTGTCTCTAGCGACCCCTGACACCCCCTCACGACCCCCCCCAGGGTACCAACCCCCAGGTTGACAAAGAGCACTCAGAATTCCACTAGCGATGGAATTGAACCAAACTTGGCACACAGAACTCCCACGACCAACACAAAACACTGGAAGGGTTTGGTGGGCATTGACCTTGAGTTTTGGAGTTGTAGTTCACCTACATCCAGAGAGCACTATGGACTCAAACCATGATGGATCTGGACTAAGCTTGGAACGGATACGCAATATGCCCAAATGTGAACACTGGTGGAGTTTGGAGGAAATAGACCTTGACATTTGGGAATTGTCGTTGCTGGGATTTATAGTTCACCTACAAGCAAAGGAACATTCTGAACCCCACCAATAGAATTGGGCCACACTTCCCCTCTGGTCCATGGTGGATCTGGACCAAACTTGGCACACGTACTCATTATGCTCAAATGTGAACACTGATGGAGTTTTGGGGAAAACAGACCTTAATATTTGGGGGTTGTAGTTGCTGGGATTTATAGTTCACCTACAATCAAAGAGCATTCTGAACCCCCAACGATAGAATTGGTCCAAACTTCCCACACAGAACCCCCATGACCAACAGAAAATACTCTGTTTTCTGATGGTCTTTGGAGACCCCTCTGACACCTCCTCACAACCCCCCCCAAAGGGGTCCCGACCCCCAGGTTGAGAAACACTGATCTAGATCGAGGGAAATCATGGTGCTCCTCTATTCTGCTTTGGTTAGAATACTGTATTGTCGAAGGTTTTCATGGCTGTGAATTTTCTGGGCTGCCTGGCCATGTTCCAGAAGCATTCCCTCCTGATGTTTTGCCCACATCTATGGCAGGCATCCTCAGAGGTTGTGAGGTTTGTTGGAAAGTAGGCAAGTGGGATTTATATCTGTGGAATAAAATCCAGAGTGGGAGAAAGAACTCTTGTCTGTTTGAGGCAAGTGTGAATGTTGTGATGGGCCACCCGGATAAGCAATGAATGGCCGTGCAGCTTCAAAGCCTGGCTGCTTCCTGCCTGGGGGAATCTTTTGTCGGGAGGTGTTAGCTGGCCCCGATTGTTAGAAATTATCCTGCCTTTTTAGTGTTGCTCTTTATTTACTGTCCTGATTTTGGAGATTTTTTTTAAATATTGGTAGCCAGATTTTGCTCATTTTCATGGTTTCTTCCTTTCTGTTGAAACTGTCCACGTGTTTGTGGGTTTCAATGGCTTCGCTGTGTAGCCTGACATGACAGCTAACACCTCCCAACAAAGGATTTCCACAGGCAGGAAGCAGCCAGGCTCTGAAGCTGCAAAGGCCATTCAGTGCAAATCAGGGTGGCTCATTCCAACATTCACACTTGCCGCAAGCAGACAAGAGTTCTTTTCCCCACACTGGACATCATTCAGTAGCCAGATTTTGTTCCTTTTCATGATTTCCTCCTTTGTGTTGACATTGTCCACATGCTTCTTGTGGATGTCAGTGGCTTCTCTGTGTAGCCTGACGTGGTGGTTGTGAGAGTGGCCCAGCACTTCTGTGTTCTCAAATAATATGCTGTGTCCAGGTTGGTTCATCAGGTACTTTCCCCCCACCCTTTCCCTCCTCCTCTCCTGCAGCTCCTGCAAGCGGCTACAAACTACCGCAACGGGCACACGGGTCAGCTCTCGGCCATCACGGCCTCCTTGCTCTTTGCAGGGTCCTTGGCGCGGATCTTCACCTCCATCCAGGTAGGAATGCTCTGCGAGTTTGAGAAGGGAGAGGGAAGTGGCTGAGGGGGAAAAGGAAGGGGCCTGAGGCTAGCAGAAGGAGGTCAGACTGGATGGCCTTTGAGGGTCCCTTCCACTCTAGGATTCTATTATTATTACTGTTACTATTATTATTAAGCAGAGGCTGGATGGCTATCTCTTGGGAGGGACTGAATGGTAAGAAGCCCTAATTAGTACGAGGTCAGACTGGATGGTCTTTGGGGGCCCCTTCTACTCTAGGATTCTGTTGTTGTTGTTATTATTATTATTATTATTATTATTATTATTATTAAGCAGAGGCTGGATGGCTATCTGTTGGGAGGAATGGTAAGCCCTGATTAGTAGGAGGTCAGACAGGTTGGCCTTTGGGGGTCCCTTCCACTCTAGGAATTATTATTATTATTATTATTATTAAGCAGAGGCTGGACGGTTATCTGTTGGGAGGGATAGGATGGCAAGCCCTGCCTGGCAGAAGGAGGTCAGATTGGATGACCTCTGGGTGTCTCTTCTAGCTCTAGGATTCTGTTATGATTGCGATTACGATGATTAAGCATAGGAGGGCCATGTATTGGGAGGGATGGAATGGTGCCTTCCTGCTCTGTATTGTTCTGGATGCTGGCCCTTGCCCTGGGCTTCTCAGGCGGGCACAAGAGACCCTTCCTGGCAGGTAGCCACCCAAGCCAGGTGTGGGTCAACTTTGGCCCTCCCTCCAGGTGTTTTGGACTTCAACTCCCAGCTGTCAGGAATGGTGGGAGTTGGAGTCCCAAACACCTGGAGGGAGGGCCAAAGTTGACCCAGGCCTGCACTGTATTCTGCATTTTCCTCCCTCTCTCTCTGCAGGAGACAGGTGACCTGCTCATGGCCCTGACCTTTGGGGTCTCCTCTTTCTGCAACGGCGTCATCATGGGGCAGCTCCTTTACTACTGGAACGTCCCAGTTGACAAGCGCAAGAAGGCCTAGGAGCCAACTGACTGCCGGGTGTCATTCTGCATATCAAGGCAGGAAGAGAAGAGGCCTCCCATCTTCTTTCCGGCTGCTCTTTTCATGCGCCCTGAGCCAAGGGACGGTGCTGCCTGCTACGTTTGGGAATCAATGCTGCCTCAATGGGACTTGAGAGGTGGAAAAAGGAAGGGGAAATCACTGTACGGGTTTTAATTTTACTACGAAATATAGCTCTCCCGCATTCCGGTGCTGATGTGGCTTTGTATTTTTAACATTCCTTTCTGGGAAAGAGGATTATGGGGTGTGCATCCCCTTCCACAACTTTGAGGTTATTGTCGAAGGCTTTCATGGCCAGAATCACTGGGTTGTTGTAGGTTTTTTGGGCTATATGGCCATGTTCTAGAGGCATTCTCTCCTGACATTTCGCCTGCATCTATGGCAAGCATCCTCAGAGGGAGTGAGGTCTGTTGGAACTAGGAAAAAGGGTTTATATATCTGTGGAATGACCAGGGTGGGACAAAGACTCTTGTCTGTTGGAGCTAGGTGTGAATGTTTCAACTGACCCCCTTGATTAGCATTTGATTGCACTGAACCGCAAAAAATTGGTTTATATATCTGTGGAATGACCAGGGTGGGACAAAGAACTCTTGTCTGCTGGAGCTAGGTGTGAATGTTTCAACTGACCACCTTGATTAGCATTTGATGGCCTGGCAGTGCCTGGGGCAATCTTTTGTTGAGAGGTGATTAGATCCTAGATTGTTTCCTCTCTGTTGTTTTGCTGTTGTAATTTTAGAGTTTTTTTTTTAATTTGAGAACACAGAAATGCTGGACCACTCTCACAACCACCATGTCAGACTACACAGAGAAGCCATTGAAATCCACGAGCATGTGGACAATTTCAACAGAAAGGAGGAAACCATGAAAATGAACAAAATCTGGCTACCAGTATTAAAAAACTCTAAATAACAGCACAACAACAGAGAGGAAACAAACAAGGACATCTAATCACCTCTCAACAAAAGATTCCCCCAGGCACTGCCAGGCCATGCTAATCAAGGTGGTCAGTTGAAACATTCACACCTAGCTTCAGCAGACAAGAGTCCTTTGTCCCACCCTGGTCCTTCCACAGATATATAAACCCTTTTTCCTAGTTCCAACAGACCTCACTACCTCTGAGGATGCTTGCCATAGATGCAGGCGAAACGTCAGGAGAGAGTGCCTCTAGACCATGGCCATATAGCCCGAAAAAACCTACAACAACCCAGTGATTCCGGCCATGAAAGCCTTTGACAATACAATATATGTGTGCCCTCCTCTTTGCTCCAAACAGCACAAACTGCTCAAGGGCCTTTTGCAAAGTCAACTCCAAAGGGCTGGAAGCAACATGTTTGTCTAGATGCGTCATGTGTGGATTAGGGTTGCTCTACATAGAACGCAGGAGAGGAAGGAGGCCTGCCCAAGCACGAGAGGTGAGTCACATCTTGCAAAAGGTCATTTGGGGGCAAATGGGCCCTTCTCCCCTTTTGGGGCTGCCCCAAGCCCTGCATTGCAACCTTTATTATTATTTTTATTATTGTTACTAGCCGTCCCCTGCCAAGCGTTGCTGTGGCCCACATGGGGGTTCTGTGTGGGAGGTTTGGCCCAATTCTATCATTGGTGGGGTTCAGAATGCTCTTTGATTGTAGGTGAACTATAATCCCAGCAACTACAACTCCCAAATGTCAAGATTCTATTTTCCCCAAACTCCACAGTGTTCACATTTGGGCATATTGAGTATTTGTGCCAAATTTGGTCCAGTTCCATCATTGTTTGAGTCCACAGTGATCTCTGGATATATGTGAACTACAACTCCAAAACTCAAGGTCAATGCCCACCGAACCCTTCTAGTTTTTTCTGTTGGTTGTGGGAGTTCAGTGTGCCAATTTTGGTTCAGTTACATTGTTGGTGTCCCAATTCTATCATTGGTGGGGTTCAGAATGCTCTGTGATTGTAAGTGAACTATAAATCCCAGCAACTACAACTCCCAAATGTCAAGATTCAATTTTCCCCAAACTCCACCAATGTTCACATTTGGGCATATTGAGTATTCGTGTAGAGTTTGGTCCAGATCCATCATTGTTGAGTCTACAGTGATCTCTGGATGTAGGTGAACTACAACTCCAAAACCAAAAGACATTGCCCACCAAACCCTTCCAGTATTTTCTGTTGGTCATGGGAGAACTGTGTGCCAAGTTTGGTTCAATTCCATCGTTGGTGGGGTTCAGAATGCTCTTTGATTGTCGGTGAACTATAAATCCCAGCAACTACAACTCCCAAATGACAAAATCATATTTTTTTTGAGTGAAGGACATACATTGGGTTGTTAGGTGTCTTGTGTCCAAATTTGGTGTCAATTCGTCCAGTGGTTTTTGAGTTCTGTTAATCCCACAAACGAACATTACATTTTTATATATATAGATTATGATTATTTCCTATAACCAAATCCATTCTCAGAAACATATAAGAGGTTTTTATTTGCAATGTTTGTAAAAAAGGTTTGTAAAAAATGCCCACTACAAAACGCTCCCTCTCACCATATCCCTTTCCCACCTTTGGGGTTAATGCCCCCCCCCCCCCAATTAGACATATTTTTGCCCCACAATCATGGAATGGTATGTAAAGAAGGCACTTGGGGATGGAACCCCACTCCAGGTTATTCAGCACTCCAAGGGGACCTGCCAGCAGGACTTTCCTATTTTTCTCACCCCTAAACAGATTTCCTTCACTTTGCAAAAATAATAATGCAGTTGCCGTGCCCTCACCCCCAACCCCACCCTACAAATGCAGCCGATGCACCTACAAACAGGACTAACCTAGCGACGCTCAGCGTCTCCTAGAAGCCTCAGTCTCTCATGGGTCAAAGCTGGGTCAAGGAAAGGGGGCCGCCCAAGCTCAAGGGCTGGTAGGGGGCCGGGGACAGGCCGTAGGGGGCAGACCCCTCCCCAAATTCATAGCCCTGCAGCCCATAGGCCACCATCATCTCGTGGAAGTTGCTCAGCGGGTAGGAAGAGGGGGCCTCAAGCTGGGTGCTGGGCTCTTTCATGTTCGGAGCAAACGCTGGAGCGGACGGCACGCTGCTGTAGGCCGGGTGGCTGCAGAGAGACAGAGAGAGGAAGGTGGTTATCATATTTTATATTACAAGTAATATTACTAATAATATTCCAATATAATGGTATAGTACAATATAGTAATATATAATAGTGATATTGTACTATGCTAATATATTGTGTGTGTATGTGTGTGTGTGTGTGTGTGTGTGTGTATGTATGTGTATATGTGTGTGTGTGTGTGTGTGTGTATATATATATATATATATATAAAATAAGCCTCTCTGAATCCTCTTTGGGATGAGAAGGGCAGCATATAAATGTTGTAAATAAATCTATATAAATACAAAAGTAATGTTCGTTTGTGGGATTAACAGAACTCAAAAACCACTGGATGAATTGACACCAAATTTGGACACAATACACCTCTCAGGCCAACGAGTGACCATCACCCCAAAAAGCCCAGCAGAATGGACTTAAACCCCCCCAAAATAAACTATACACATACACTCATATACATATACACATGCACACTTACATACAGACAAACACACACATATATATATATATATATATACAAGCACACACAAATATACACATACATATAAACATGCACATACATATTTACATATAGATATACATACACAAATATATACACACTTATACACACACATATACACCCATCAATCTATCTATACATCTATATCTCTGCAAATACACATATACACAAATATATACACACACATAAACACGCACACAAAGCTTATACACAGACTGGGCCACAGCAATGTGTGGCAGAGGACGGCCAGTAAATAAATAAAACCCTAGAGTTGGAAGGGGCCTGGGGGAATCCATTGTTGGGAGGTGATCAGCTGGGATGCTTTTGAGTGCAATCTTCCCTGGAATTCTGAGTGAACACAAGTCCCATGTTCAGACTGCCAATCTTACTCAGCGTCTCCAGAGTCAGGGAAGGAGTTCACAGAGTTGGCCCTTTCCTATACAATCCAAGGTAAAGGTTTTCCCCTGACCTTAAGTCCAGTTGTGTCCAACTCTAGGACTGTGGTACTCTTAGCCGAAGAGCCAGCGTTGTCCATAGACACTTCCAAGGTCATTTGGCCACTGGCATGTTCTCTGGGATGGATACCGGAGTGGTATCTATTGATCTACTCACATTTGCATGTTTTTGAACTGCTAGGTGGGCAGGAGCTGGGACTAACAGCAGAGCTCATACAGCTCCCCGGAATCAAACCTGCGACCTTTCGGTCAGCAAGTTCAGCAGCTCGGTGGTTTAACCCACTGCGCCACTGGGGGCTCCAATACAATCCAAAGCTTCCTCCAAAGGATAAGACCCCCAATGCAGGCATGGGCCAACTTTGGCCCTCCTTCAGGTATTTTGGATTTAAATCTCCCCCTATTCCTAACAGTCACTAAGGCTGAAGTTGGCCCATACCTTCCACAATGCATTAAGAAGGAAGTGGAAGGGCAAGCCATGCCCAGCCCCCATTTGTGGCCCCAGGGGCGCATTGAAGCCCCACACCTGCAGGAAGGGAGGGCGGGCCAAACCCTCATCCCCTGCCCTGGGGCCCATGGGTTGGGCCTCCGCATTCCTCAGCTGCTGGTTCTTCCCGTTTCAGCTTGCCCAGGGCAAGAGCGCTGATGGGGAGCCCAAGAAAAACCCCACATTCGCCCTCTTTTTAAAAGCCCGGTCTTAAAATTTACATAAAGTATACAAAGGTGACCTGACTGTGCAACATTTATCATAACCTTGCTGTGCTTTCTGCCAATACATCTATATAAATAAAAATGTAATGTTCATTTGTGGGATTAACATAACTCAAAAACCACTGGATGAATTGACACCAAATTTGGACACAAGACACCTCTCAGGCCAACGAGTGACCATCACTCATAAAAACACTGGAAAACACGGACTTAAAAAGACAAAAAACAAAAAATACATGACAACGCTTGCACAAAATCACATATATATACACAAACATAAAAAGGTAAAGGTAGTCCTCTGACATTAAGTCCTGTCGTGTCTGACTCTGGGGTGTGGTGCTCATCTCCATTTCTAAGCCGAAGAGCCAGCGTTGTCCGTAGACACCTCCAAGGTCATGTGGCCGGCATGACTGCATGGAGCGTCGTTACCTTCCTGCCAGAGCGGTACCTATTGCTCTACTCACATTTGCATGTTTTCGAACTGCTAGGTTGGCAGAAGTGTGTGTGTGCGTGTATATATATTTAGGGCTGGGTAACCACGGAAAAATTGTTTCTAAACTCGATTCGTTTCCAGGGGGCGCTAGTGTTTCCAAATTCTAAATACTTCCGAAATTTTGAGATTTCAAAATTTCGTTATTTACGAAATTTCGTAAATTTCGAATCGATTCGTTAATGGCGGACGCGATTGCGCAATATGCTAAAAAACCTCCAAATGGGACAGGGGGAACTTCTGAAGCTTCCCTCTCCCTCTGTTGTTGACTGTTGGTGTGATAAAACAAACAACAACTATAAAACTTGCACCAGACATGCAAAAATAATTATGAAATAATTACAAAATAATTACGAAATAATTACGAAATAATAACGAAATAAATTGAAAAAATTGTTTCGAATCTAATTTCCTCCTCACACTATTCCTGCATGGCTCAATATCGGATCGTAAGCTAATTTAAATACGAATGAATAACGAATTACGAAATTAACGAATGAAACCGCCCAGCCCTAATATATATATACATGTAATATTAAATATCAATATAATGAAATATAGTAATATCAAAAACATTACAAAAATAAAATATAGCTGTAAGTATAGAATGAAATAGGGCCCCCGGTAGCTCAGTGGGTTAAAGCGCTGAGCTGCTGAGCTTGTTGACTGAAAGGTCGCAGGTTCGATTCCGGGGAGCGGCGTGAGCTTCCGCTGTCAGCCCTAGCTTCTGCCAACCTAGCAGTTCGAAAACATGCAAATGTGAGTAGATCAATAGGTTAAGATCGTCCGGGGAGGCCCTGCTCTCGGTCCCGCCGGCATCACAAGCGCGGTTGGCGGGGACGAGAGACAGGGCCTTCTCGGTGGTGGCCCCTCGGCTATGGAATGCCCTACCAGCGGACATCAGGCAGGCCCCTTCGTTGCTGGTGTTTCGGAGGAGGGTTAAGACGTGGCTCTTTGAGCAGGCGTTCGGATAGCTGTGCAATTGCAATTAAATCCAGGAAGACGGCATAACTGAACAAGGAACGGCAATGGAATGTGAGAACGGAATCTGATTTTATGTGAGGCGTTGATGTCTATATGTGTGTCGTTTGTGTATGTTTGTCTTTACATTGTTAGTGTGCACAACTTTTACTGTAAACCGCATTGAGTCGCCGGTCACGGCTGATAAATGCGGTATACAAATAGCGTAAATAAAATAAATAATAAATAATAAATCAATAGGTACCGCTCCGGCGGGAAGGTAACGGTGTTCTATGCAGTCATGCCGGCCACACGCTCGCTCCGGTCATCTGGGGAGGCCCTGCTCGTGATCCCACCTACGTCGCAAGCGCGCTTGGTGGGGACACGGGACAGGGCTTTCTCTGTGGCGGCCCCCCGACTTTGGAATGCCCTTCCAAAAGAGCTTCGTCAGGCCCCTACTCTAGCAGTTTTCAGAAGGAACCTAAAAACTTGGCTGTTCCGATGTGCCTTCGCAGATTAGGAATCCCCCATCCCAAGTCCTAGAAGCACTTTAGCACAACCAATGTTGCTGCACACCGCACTTTTAATCCTACGTTCCTCCTGCCATCTCAGCACTTTTTACCCGGTACCCCATTGCGCCGGCCGAACCAGTTTTAATAGTGTCTTGATGTATTGATGTATTGTCATTGTTGTTATTTTGCTTAATTGTTGATTTGCTTTGTTTATTGTTGTGTTATGTTTTCTATTGTATTGTGTTTTGAGGCTTCGGCCTGTGTAAGCCGCATCGAGTCCTTCGGGAGATTTTATTTATTTATTTATTTGATGCACTTATTAACCGCCATTCTCAGCCCTTACGGGCGACTCATGGCGGTGTACAGTACACATAAAAAGAGAGATCGTTACAAAAGCCGATATCACAACACATACTATACAAACAAATACAAACTACATAAAAGTCCGCTTCGTCTCTTAGTAGAATCATAGGCCAATCTCATCATCCTTATACCATTCCAGATCTCATTGCCGTAATGTTGTTGCTAGCACTTAATTAAATGCCCTCTCAAATAGCCAGGTTTTAAGGCTTTTTCGAAAGGACATGAGGGAGGGCGCCTGTCTAATGTGTGCCGGGAGAGTGTTCCACAGCCGGGGGGCCACCACTGAGAAGGCCCTCTCCCTCGTCCCCGCCAGCCGTGCCTGTGAAGCAGGCGGGATCGAGAGAAGGGCCTCCCCAGACGATCTCAAGGTCCTCGTGGGCTCTTAGGCCAAGATGCGGTCTGAAAGGTATTTTGGGCCGGAGCCCAAATAATAATAATGACCTTGGAGGTGTCTACGGACAACGCTGGCTCTTCGGCTTAGAAATGGAGATGAGCACCACACCCCAGAGTCAGACATGACTGGACTTAATGTCAGGGGACTACCTTTACCTTTACCTTTTATATATATATACAAGATGGATGGATGGCATCCTTGAAGTGACTGGACTGACCTTGAAGGAGCTGGGGGTGGTGACGGCCGACAGGGAGCTCTGGCGTGGGATGGTCCAGGAGGTCACGAAGAGTCGGAGACGACTGAACGAATGAACAACAACAACAACATCGAACAAAAATTAAATTAAATATAAAAATATCACAAAAATAAAGTGGAGCTAAAATAGAAATGGTTAGGGGAAGAAATCCTAGTTTGCAAGAGGGGTGCATGGTGAATAGTGACCCCTCTCTCTCTTCCTCCTCCTACCTGCTGGGCGTGTCCTGCTGGGCGTGGGCGTGTCCTTCTTCCCCTGGCGGGGTGGGGGCCTGGACCTGGGCCTGGCCCGTGCGGGGTCGCCCCTTCCTCTTCCTGCGTGGCCGGAACTTGTGGTGCGGGTGGAGGGCGAGGTGAGTGTGGCGGAGGCGCTGGGCCTCTTCGCGGAAGGGCCTCTTCTGGGCCTCGGGCAGGAGGTGCCAGGCGGCGCCCAGGCGCTTCGAGATCTCCGAGTGGTGCATCCGCGGGAAGGCCTCGGACACGCGGCGACGCTCCCCGCACGACCACACCAGGAACGCGTTCATCGGCCGCTTCACCTTCAGCGGCTCTTCCTCTGGTGAGGCCGGGCCCTGGGCCTCGCCTCCCTGGCGCTCTGGAGGGTAAACACAAGCACACATCCTCCTCCTCCTTCGCTAGTCCCGCCGGTTGTGAAGCGGCACGCGCGGCGCGGAGGCTATATATAGGGGGGAATAGACCACGCCCCCATCGAGACCACGCCCCCTGCTCTCCAGCCTATTGCAGCTCTGCTTGCGATGTGGCCACGCCCCCAAAGAAAACATACTCGCTTCTCTCACCGATTGGAGCTTCACTTGCGAGGCGGGCCACGCCTCCCCACGAAGCCGCGCCCCCTTCTCTTCGCTATTGGAGCTTTATTTGCGATGTGGCCACGCCCCCAACTAAACCACGCCCCTTCTCTTCTCTATTGGAGCTTTACTTGCGATGTGGTCACGCCCCCCAAAGAAACCACGCCCCTTCTCTTCTCTATTGGAGCTTTACTTGCGGTGTGGGCACGCCCCCCAAAGAAACCACGCCCCTTCTCTTCTCTATTGGAGCTTTACTTGCGATGTGGTCACGCCCCCCAAAGAAACCACGCCCCTTCTCTTCTCTATTGGAGCTTTACTTGCGGTGTGGGCACGCCCCCCAAAGAAACCACGCCCCTTCTCTTCTCTATTGGAGCTTTACTTGCGGTGTGGGCACGCCCCCCAAAGAAACCACGCCCCTTCTCTTCTCTATTGGAGCTTTACTTGCGGTGTGGGCACGCCCCCCAAAGAAACCACGCCCCCTTCTCTGCTCTATTAGAGCTTTACTTGCGATGTGGCCACGCCCACAATTCGTCTGACTATTGGAGCTTCGCTTGCGTTGTGGCTACGCCCCCCACAGAAACCACGCCCCCTTCTCTTCGCTATTGGACCTTTACTTGCTATGTGGCCACGCCTCCAAAGAGACCACGCCCCCAATTCTACTGACTATTGGAGCTTCGTTTGCGATGTGGCTACGCCCCCCCAAAAAACCACGCCCCACTCTCCTGCCTATCGGAACTTTACTAGCGAAGCGGGCCACGCCTCCTATAGAAACCACGCCCTCTTCTCATGCCTATTGGGGCTTCATTTGCGAAGCAGGCCACGCCCCTCTCCTCCGGCCTATTGGAATTTCACTTGCGAGGCGAGCCACTCCCCCCTGAGAGACCACGCCCCCGTTCCCCTGCCTATTGGAGCTTCGTTTGCAATGCGGGCCACGCCTCCTGCAGAAACCACACCCCTTCTCTTCCCTATTGGACCTTCAGTTGTGAAGCAGGCCACGCCCCCTCTCCTCCGGCCTATTGGAGCTTCACTTTCGAGGTTAGCCACGCCCTGTAGCCTCCAACCACGCCTCTTCTTGTATACAACCCTCGTTAGCCACGCCCCTCCTCCCCTTTCATTCATTGCAGATGACCAACTTCCTTTCCATAACCACGCCCCCAAACTAAAGCCACGCCCCTCCTTCCCTACTGCCTGTATTTGTTTGATCTTCTCCATTTAGTTTACCTTATCAGCTTATTTTTCATCCTTGTTATCAATTGGGCTTCTACCATTTGTCACAATATATGATCTCGTGCTATTCTTTCCATTTCTGGCCAAATAGCTTAAATTTGGATAGTATTTTGACTTTGGGTTTTTAGCAATTTTATTATTATTATTATTATTATTATTATTATTATCATAATTAATATTATTAAAATCGTATCAATATAATTATAATATTTTGACTTTGGGATTTTAGCATCATTATTATAACTATTATAGAATATAATTATAAATTATAATAATATAATAATCAATATTATTATAATCATAATATAGTAATTAATATTATTATAATCATAGTAATAAAATGATATTTTAGCTTTGGGATTTTAGCAATTTTATTATAATTATTATAGTATTATATAATTATATAATAATCAATATTATAATGTTATAATCATAGTAATTAATATTATAATATTAATATAATTATTATATTTTAACTGGTATTTTAGCAATTTTATTATTATTATACTACTACTATAGTATTATATAATTATATAATAATCAATATTATAACCATAATAATTAATATTATAACCATATTAATACAATTATTATATTTTGGCTTTGGGATTTAAGCAGTTATTATTACTATTGTTATAATATTATATATTATATGATACCTGTTTGGGTATCAGCCAGCACGTCAATGACTTAAATCAAGAAATAGTTTTCTAAGAACTTCCTGTGAGAGCTGTTCAGCAGGGGAACTCTCTGCCCCGCAGTGTGGTGGAGGCTCCTTCTTTAGAAGCTTTTAAACAGAGGCTGGATGGCCATCTGTCAGGAGTGATTTCAATGCAATATTCCTGCTTCTTGGCAGAATGGGGTTGGGCTGGATGGCCCAGGAGGTCTTTTCCAACTCTTTGATTCTATGATTCTAAGAGCTACAGAGACACTTGCTGGAACACCTCATCAAGTGAGAGTCCAAAAGTGGCAGGCTCAAACCCCGAACTTCAATCAATGGCTGATACCAAAGGAGAGACTCCCCCCTGGGCACATAGAAGACTGGGCGACTTGGAAGGCGCTGAACAGACTGCGCTCTGGCACCACGAGATGCAGAGCCAACCTCAAGAAATGGGGCCACAAAGTGGAATCCACGACATGCGAGTGCGGAGAAGAGCCAACCTCTGACCACCTGCTGCAATGCAACCTGAGCCCTGCCACAGGCACAATGGAGGACCTTCTTGCGGCAGCACCAGAGGCACTTCAAGGGGCCAGATACTGGTCAAAGGACATTTAACCAAATACCAAGCTTGCAAACTCTGTTCTGTTTGTTAAAAAATTGTTAAAAATGTAATACAATTGTCTGGTTGATACTGACACGATAAATAATAAATACTGATGTACTGTGGACTTGGCCTCATGTAAGCCACATCGAGTCTCTTTGGGAGATGGTAGCGGGGTATAAATAAAGTTTTATTATTATTTATTATTATTCCTTCAGCCCCACACTTTTGGCAGGGCCTTTGCCCTTTGTGGTCCCGACAGAGAGAACATCACTGTACAGGAGTTGATTATAAATTGTATGATTTTAACTGTATTTGTGTTTAGATTGGCTGCAGTAATGCTGGAGCGGCCTAAGTCAGAGGAGTCCTCCATGTGCGTTGCCATGGAGACCGATGCAGGAGAGAGGGAAGTGGGAGGAGCTTAGAGGGGAGAGTTTGAAAAAAACGACAGTTAAAAATCGGTTAGGGTTTAGGTTCAGAGGAGTCAGGAGTTAGGTTCAGAGGAGTGAGGAGTTAGGAGTTGGGAGAGAAGGAAAGGAAAGGTGGCGGAGTGACTTGTGAAGCAAAGCTTTGAGGCTTTGAAAAGCTGGGTTTGGCTATTGGAAGTTTCTCAGGCTAGTGCAGCCGAATGGTGAAACATAGCTGGTATTCTTTTAGTCTAAGGAGAGGCTAAAGAATAGTTTACTTAGTATTTGATCTAGGGAGGATCAAATAAGGGAAACATCCCTGTATTGAAACTTTGTCTGAAACAAGTGCTCTACGTCAGAAAGATACTGTGTTACTTGAAAGAATGAACTGTTAAAGTTACAAGTATTATTCCAAGTGCAACAAGGAAAAGTTACGTCTTGCAACCACACGCTGTGTACTTAATAAAATTGTTAACTTTTATTTGAAGATTGCCTCAGCTCCGTCTATTCTGTGTACCAAGTGCCATTTCTCACAATATTACAACTTACCTCACGTGGTGGCAGAAACGCAGGGAAAAGTAACCAAATAAATCTACATTCTTCTCTCCAGTCACGCTACAGTATATACAGTGTCATTACTACTAAGTTATTACTTTCTTAATAAAGGAGGAGGTGCAATTGAACAGCCTCCCTTCCAACTTGATGGTAAATTTGGTTCCTAATCGGCAACCTCCATTGCAAATCGGCCAGTTCTTTTTAAAATTGGGAACTGGGGTAAAATCTCCTGAATACTGGTTCCTTTCAAATTGGTGGCAACAATAAATCATCCCTCCACTCCCTTGCTTCTTTTCAATCACATACACACATACACGCAAAAGAACATGGGACACAAATGGAAACGGGTGCCTCATTTTTGGATTTTTTTTTCAAGAGTTGGGTTTTTTTTAATTCTCTTTTTAAATACTGTACAGTGAAAAATAAATAGTCTCAACCGTCACAGATCAAACCCCGCTATCCCCCTCCACGCAGAAAAAAAACACGCGAGACGCGAGGCGGCCGCTTCGGAAGGAGCGAGGAGGAGGCGGCCTCAGCGCCATCTTCAGCCTGTCGTTTCTCTCGTTTTGCTTCTCTAACTCCCGTCTTCCACAGTGTTTCCATAAAAGGAGAAGGAAAGGAAAAGAAAAAAAGGGGGGGGCGCTTGGGACAGGCCTTCCCTTTCCCAGGCAGAACCACGCTGCCTCTGAGCACCATGCGGCCATTTCGAGGGGAAGAAGGGGTCCGAAAACAAGCCCGCCACCGATCCCTTGGAAGGGGCCGCCCTCCCGCCTCGCTCTCTCTCTCTCATTCTCTCTCTCCGGCCATTGCCTTCAACTCGTCCGAGGATACAAAGGAAAAGAACGAGACCTCTCTGCGCTGCGGGGCCTCGGGTGTGTCGTGTCTGTGTGCGTGTCTCTGTGTGTTCATGTGTGTGTGTGTGTCTGAATGATCAGAAGGCACAGGTTTCTCTCCCTCTCCGTCCCCTGGGTGTTTTTTTTTTTGTTTGTCTCCCCCTCCCCTCCAAAAGTGTCTTTCAAAACAAAACAACCAAAAAATAAAAATAAACCAGAAGAAGAACTCATCCTGACGAAGTCCCCCAAGGGATGGATGCGCGGGAAGCCCAGGGTGGGCTCCTCCTCCTCCCTCACCTCTCTCTGATGCGCACCGGGAAGTGTGACGCGCGGTGGTCGGTCACGCAAAGGGTTCTTTCTCCCCCGTCTTTGGCAAGCGTTTCTTTAGGATCAAAGTTACCTCGGGATCCAGGTCGGTTTGCAGTTGGTGGGTGGGTTGGTTGGTTTTTAAGTAATGGGTTTTTTGTTCTTGAAACGAGAGACTGGTGTGATGTTTTATTTCCGTTTGTTTGTTTTCCCCTCTTAAGATGTTGCAAGCAGGCGGAGAGTAAGGATCGGATTCTGCTGAAGAGGAGGAGGAGGAGGAGAAGGAAGAGGAGGAGGAGGAGGAGGGCATGGCTGCAAAAGCAGCAATGGCTCCGGGTGGCGCCTAGGACACCCCGTTCACCAGGGCCGCCATTGTCTCCTCGCTGCTGCCGCCTGCCGAGGAGGGCTCCCCATTCTCCGATGAAGGGCCGTTGGGGACCTTGCCGAGGGCCTCGCCCTGAAAGGAAAGCAAGGGAAAGCGCGTCAGAGGTCAGCATGTAATGCGTTCACACTGCGGGAAAAGAGATCCCACCTAAACACAAGGAAGAACTTCCTGACACTTAGAGCTATGTTACAAGGGAATAAAACATGGGGGTTGTCAGAAATTAACTAGGTATTTTTAATTACAAAAATGTGAGTCAAGCACTGAAAGGGTTAAACTCTAGAAAGTTTTAAGAAGAATCTCAAACCTGGCTCTTCCGTTGCGCTTTTGGAGATTAACCATGCAATTTTATATTGCTGTTATCCCTCAACATTTGTCCTTATAGTACACCTCCCCTTCTCCTGTACAAAGGCCCTTCTCGACCCCATTCCTGAACAGTTTCTCCCTCACAAATAATCTGCTCCATCGCTATTATTATTCTTAGATGCAGAGGAAGCATTTGACAACGTGCAATGGGACTACTTGATTAAAGTATTGGACCATTCTGGAGTGGGTCCACATTTCAGAAAGGCCATAGGAGCCATTTATTCTAGACAAAGGGCTAAACTAAAAATTAATGACCAAATGTCAAATTATATAGAAATTCAAAAAGGAACAAGACAAGGCTGTCCCCTATCACCGCTATTGTTTATTTGGATATTAGAAATCTTGAACGAAAGAATTAGAGAAGCTAGTGAAATTAAAGGAGTTAAGGTAAAAGGGTATGAATTTAAAAGGAATGCATCCTGTTTTGAGGGGTTTCGGAGGTCAGGGGGTGGAGTGCACGGGTGGGGGATAGAGGGTTATGTAATGTTAAGGTATAAATAATTGTATAACCAAATCTGATTGTACGTATGTTTAAAAAGCACTGAATATTGACTCTTTTGTAAATCTTTTGCATGTTTTTCCTTTTGTTCATTTGTTTTATTTTCTGCATACACCATGTAACAATAAAAATTATTTTAAAAATAAATAAATAAATAATCTGCTCATTCTCTATCTCACCCCATGTTTTTAGCTTTAGTATTTTACTCTGTACATGCGGCCCGCTCACTGTTACTGTGTTATGAATTATTTTATTGTCATTTTATATTGTTTACTGTATTCTCATGCTTTATGTAATTTGTTATGTTGTTGTTTGTGTTTCGATTTCATTTATTGTATTGTGTGGTTGGGCTTGGCCTCATGTGCGCCGCCCTAAGTCCCCATCGGGGAGATGGTGGCAGGGTATAAACAATGTTTATTATTATTATTAAATGGATGCCATGACTATGGGCCCTTCCACACAGCCCTCCATCCCAGAATATCAAGGGATGAGAGAAAGATTCCTAGCTGCTGCAATGGCGGCAGATGAAAGGAACTGAGGCAGTAGCCCCTACCACTGGCTATATATACTCTCAAGGGGAGAGTGGGCGGGGCTACCACCGAAAAGTGTCTAATACGTTTTCTAGAAGATTCTGAACTGTCTACGCAGGCGCAGGGAATACCATATGTGCGGTTCACAGGGACCACGATGGGGAATTCTATGTTATCTGAGTGTGGACTCAGATAATGCAGTTCAAAGCAGATATTGTGGGATTTTCTCCCTTGATATTCTGGGATATAGGCTGTGTGGAAGGGCCCCAAGAAAGCTTTCAGTGTGAGAGAAGCCTCTGTGGGAGAATAGGCCTCATTGTTAGTAGGTCTGATTGTGAGGTAGGCCTCAGTATGAGACGGCCTCATATGTGAAGCTCCAGTGTGAAGGTAGAACTTTATTTGTGTCATGGAAACCTTGTTGCTATGAATAGTCCATATAATATTAGGTTCTTGTGGGTTTTTTCGGGCTATAGGGCCATGTTCTAGAGGCATTTCTCCTGACGTTTCGCCTGCATCTATGGCAAGCATCCTCAGAGGTTGAGGTCTGTTGGAATTAGGACAATGGGTTTATATATCTGTGGAATGGCTGGGGTGGGGCAAAGAGCTCTTCCCTGCTGGAGCTAGGTGTGAATATTTCAACTGACCACCTTCATTAGCATTTGAAGGCCTGGCTGAGCCTGGGAAAATCTTTTGTTGAGAGGTGATTAGATGTCCTTGTTTGTTTCCTCTGTTGTGCTGTTGTAATTTTAGAGTTTTTTTTAATACTGGTAGCCAGATTTTGTTCATTTTCATGGTCTCTTCCTTTCTGTTGAAATTGTCCACATGCTTGTGGATTTCAATGGCTTCTCTGTGTAGTCTGACATGGTGGTTGTTGGTGTGGTCCAGCATTTCTGTGTTCTCAAATAGTATGCTGTGTCCATGTACATTTATGGGGAGGGTTTATTGTTGATAAGCCCACTCACCCAACAAGGGTCTCCTCCTTTGGAGGTGGTTGTTGTTATTATTATTATTATTATCATCTTTATTTATACCCTGCCTTTCTCCCCATTGGGACTCAAGGCAGCTAACTATCCCACACTTAGCCCAGTTTAAGAAGCACAATACAGAAGTTTAGAAACAATTAAATAGTAACAGTGTGGATGGTCCTCTGTCAGGCAGGCTTTAATTGTCTCTTCCTGCCTGGCAAAAGGGGATGCACTAGATGGCCCCTCTTAGGGTTTTTTCCAACTCTAGGATTCTCTAAGAGCTCCAGAGAAGGCCCTGGGATTCCACTGGTTAGGCCAGATATGGGCAAACTTTGACCTGCCAGGTGTTCTGGATGTCAACTCCCACAATTTCCTAAGAGCCAGTAGGGTTATACCCTGCTTTTCTCCCAGTATGGAAATCCTATTCCACAGCCAAACAGCTCTTACCATCACTCTTCCTAAGTGGAGTCTCTCGTCCTGTAATTTGTACTTATCACCCGTTATGTCCTAGTCTTCCTTCCTTAGTGGGATAACCTTTTGAATTTTCCAACATAATACTAGTAATAATAATACAATATTACAATTATAATTATATATTTACATTACATGTAATATTACATGCAATATTACTAATAATATTACAATATAATGGTATAGTGCAATATAGTAATATAGAATACTGATGCCGTAAATAAATAAATAAACAAACATGGCTACCATGTCCCATGGTCTCAGCCTTCTTTTCTCCAACTTATTGATTTATTTCATATCAAAAGCATTGCATAAATTAGTATAAAACTAGTAAAATTAGAAGGAGGCACAGGTGGCTAAATATCTTTTGACCAAAAAGGGGCAATAGCAACGGCATTG